TTGATGTAGCATGTGGATAAATCTGAAATATTTAGAGATTTGGTTGAAGCCAGAACTGTTCAGACAGAAAATAACAATACACAGGGCTGCATTTCTGTCTGGAATATGAATCATAATTATTTTGGCCTCAGCAATTAGTTAATTGTGAAAGGCCACAGTTAATGTTTGTCATGAAGGTCTATGCCTACTGCAACACAATTAAAAACATTTCTTGTGCTTCGGGCGTCTTATACTACACATTATAGTCCTCCAGGGTATGCAGCTACAGCCACATTAGGTGAGTCATAAGGGAATTATAGCCATTTTTATACACAATCCCTCCATTTTATAGTTTATACATAGTCCCTCCATTTCACAGTACCTAGTTGTAGGTACTGTGAAATGGAAAGAATGCAAAGAACTCTTTAATCATACAAAGGGTTCTTTTATTGTTCATGGTTCGATATAGAACTGTGTTCCCTATTAATTAACCCTTAAAGAACCATCTTTTTAAGAGTGTATATAGGTTTTATCTTCCCTGGTGGTGCTTTATTGGTGCAATAATGCATTTTCAGTTTTATGCACTTTTTACATTCAGTCTTGTCTTCAGTAAATGAAATATCTGCTCAGTGGGTTCATGTTGGGTGACTGACTTCGCCAGTCAAGAATATTCCACATTTTGGTCATGCAAGCCCCAGAGCTGCTTTAGGTTACAGTATGTTTCAGGTCTTTGTCAAACAACAGCAGCAGACGGTATATGCAAATTCCACATCAACCCCAGGTCTTTTGGTGGGCCTCTGTGTGAACTAATGATGTAACGTCATACAGTCAGTCTGGAAACAAAATGAATCAGTAAAATGCCTCTTTACATTTGGACAGTCTAAAATGGGAGTACAATGTAATTCCTAAACATTGACCCAACACAAATATATGCCCTCAAATTAAAGCTCACAGTCTACATTTTTAACTTTTGTTTCATTTCAAATATAATTTCACTTATTATGCTGGAGTACATAGCAAAAACAACAAAGAAAATGTGTCACTAGGCATTTACTTAAGGACTGCACTGTCAGCACCTGTCAGTCTGATCAAGCTTTCTAAACTGTTCATTCCATTCTGAAAAGTCCTAAATTGTACTAATCAGACTAAATATAGACAGAAATATAGATATAGATATGAGTTATGCACCATCGAATATATGGCTGACTTTTGTCTAAGCTCTGTCAGACAGGCTATTTCAAATAATCACCTCCCATAATGAGCTGGAAAGCAGCTGTGAAATATTTGAATTAAACACAATGAAACACAATGGACAGCCAGAAGAGGCCTTAAAAAGACAAAGAGTACAGCGGGGGAAGAATGTTAAGAATGTTATCTCGCTCAATTAACAAACTGAAAAATGTACAGCAGCTCAGAGTGGCATTTGCTCTGATTAACTGGCATAGATGATTTGCAGACCAAGGCACTCCATGTCACACCGGTCTCGGACAAACTGAATAGGTGCGAATAAACAGTCAGAGGGAAAAGCAAATCAAAACCGCCTTCTCGTTGACAACGGCAGTGAGAGCTACTGCTTTGAGATCATTTCGTAGGCAAATATGCCTAGTAATCATTTACTTTCCGCAGTAGACTGTTTTACATAAAAAAAAGTATACAGCAGCCAACACAGGATACATTTTAAACCTGTACAAACGTCCGAAAAGTTACGCAGGTGTCGCCTCTCGTATTTCCCTCATGTGTGTTTAAGCCATAACGCCGGCAGAAACCGTCCGTATGGTCTAGACGACCGTTAAAAACCGTTTGAGGAATCTGACTTTTTAAAAAATCCTCATTAAACAAACAAAGTGTAGGAAGACGTCGGTGTACACTAGATATTAATACACATTAATGTCGCTACCGCTACAAAGCAGACTCGTTTATTACTTTTACTACAACCTGCCAAAGGTTAAAAAAGTACAATTCAGAGGAGGTAATTAACCCAGGAGTGCAGCCAACATCGTCTGCTGAAGAGTTTCCCACCAGCTACTCAACCCCAGAGGAAAAGCGGTGCTGTTACCGCTAAAACTCACCCTCTCCCCCGAAAGAAAGGCAGTCAAGCCGAGGGTCAATAGCATCCAAATGTTCCTCATAATTCCTTGGGTAAGTGTGCGGCTTCGTGCAGAGAACGATAAAAAAAATAAAATCCCGTTTCCACTTGTGAGCAACTCTCCCGTTTTCTCCCCCACCTCGGCCCTCTCTCCCCCTGCTTTTCACTCAGGAGTGCGAGCCCACCGGATACGTGTTGCTTCGCGCTACACTAGTCCTCCGCGCGCACTTTTTTTCTGCACATGGATTTCTTTTCTCCCTTTGTTTTCTTGAAAAACGTTCTCCTCGAAGCGCGTTGAGTTTAAGTAATCCTAATCTTTACTCTTTATTTTTTTCTCGAAGTCCGCAGGTTACGAGTTGTCCGCGTCCACGCGTTTACAGCGACTCGCCCTCAGTGCCAAACGCTCAGTGGAGCACGAATGCGGGTCAAAGGAGGGAGAGCCTGGCCAATGATTGACAGATCCACCGACCATATGGGCGCATCGTCAGAGAGAGACGGGAGGAGGAGGGGGGAATACGGCGTGGAGTAAAAATGAGTGTTTAGTTTCCTCTCTCTCTCTCTCTCTCTCTCTCTCTCTCTCTCTCTCTCTCTGTCTCTCTCTCTAAGGTTTACTACAGCTGAAGGTTGTACAGACAGCCTCTCGAACCTGTTTTTGCTCTTTGTTGCGACTATATTTTCACTTTCTTTAGGTTTCTCACATTCTTAGGTAGGATTCAGAAATTTACAAATGAAAATTTGTTTTGTCCCTTAAATTTTTGTACAAAATATACATTTTTCTCACATTACTGTCTGCTCTGCCTTTTGTCCACGAAGCTACAGTTAGCTTCTTATTCGAATTTTCCGTTCCACCTTAAATGGTGCAGCAGTTCCATTCTGGCGCCTGTACATTCGGACGCCTGCAAAGGCTACGCCATTTAAGGTGGAACGGAAAATTCGAATAAGAAGCTGTCGAATAGAAACCAACTTCATCCTCGTTCACCTGTACGGTATGTGCTGTCTCCCCCTAATGGATACATGATGAAATGTGGTGTAGAATCCAGAAAACACACACCAGTCGGTACACAAAGAAACACCATACCAGATCTATTTTCCAGATTACCTGTTTATCTTTGGTCATTTTTTAATATTCTCTGGAAAAGTATGGGTGCCATATTAAAGTAAGTAAATAAACAAAGCGTGGGCTAGAATATAATCATTACAGATGACCTCTGCATAACTCAGAATTGTCTGAAGATATCAGAGTTGAAGATGTCACTCCTACACTCAGAAACCATGCCACACACCTCCCCCTCCCAAAAAACAAACAAGTGCACGTGCGCGCACACACACACACACACACACACACACACACACACACACTTCACTGCTCTCCTCTGTAGGCTTATCCAGACCCAGATTACTGGCCACAGCGTCCCAGATTACCCAGCCAATTAGGGTGATGGCAAAGCTCCTTCTGCTATTCTCAGTTACGCTCTTGAAGGCTGCCAACACACATGCTGGCACAAACATCCTCCATGCCACAGGGGCTACACACTGACTGATGAAGCAAAGTGTCAGACACTTGGAAAAAGAAGTAATTTTAATGATAAGATGTTTAATGTACACCTCCTATCTGATGATGTGCTGAATGGGTTGCTTTAACAGTATGTAAGTATGATTTTAATAACCCTGTATAACAGCATCACTTAGTGGTAGTGCCCTTTGATTAAAGGAGAATTCCACCATCAAAATTTCTCTTGAACTCAGCTATTTAGATGTAAACAAATCATTTGATGTGAAATGGCTCATTGTATAGAAACTTGGAGAATCAGATTTCTTTCTAGAGGTGGTCATAGGAACCAGGGGTTGTGATGTCTACAGTGCAAATATAGCCATTATTTACATGTCTTCTGAGGTTGTATATGTGGTGCTGATAATGGTAAAATAGTGGGCACTATTTCCCTGCATGTACCTCTCTGCCATCATGCATTTAAGTAATACATACATTTTAGACCAAAACTATCATAAAACAATGTCTGAGGCATCAGAAAACAGATTTGTTACCATTTCTCGTACTGGCTTTCTGTGGTAAGCATTAAATGCTTCTGGCGCCTAGTTCCTATCACTACTCTATGGAGCATCTCACATCAAACCACTCTGAAAGACTGTGTTTACATCTTAACCACTTAATTATGGGATATTCTGTTATAAAATCAACCACACAAATAACGAGGTGAAGCAAGTTATACCTAAATCCCTTAACATTCCAAAACTTCTATTATAAAACGGATAGTTCTGATTCTAAAATCTGATTGGCTGAGATCCATGATATACGCACACCTATGACCGCTTCTGAATTGTGACTTACTGAATTATGTATTATTACACCATGGCACAAAAAAACTCTTGTGCTGTTAATGGAATTATCTTTGACTCTCATGCTGCTCGCATGGACCACCGAGTATAATGATGAGGTAAGGACCCGTTTTGCGTTTAAACTGAGGGGCTTACAACTTGTGTTCTTAACTAGATCTAGCCTGAATTAGAACCGCTTTGAGATTCAGCTCCAGCGCAAGAAGAGGAACGCCGCTGGATTGATGCTAAATAAGACTCGCGGTGGTAATTTGGTGACCAAAAAGGACTTATAAAGTGAATGTTTTTGTATTTAACAGTGCTGTGTTATCATATGTTCATTGTTATATGACAAAAAGTTAAAAAATTCATGAAATGACTACAATATGCAGCAATGGGTGACCGAATATTCTCCTCATTCAGTGGTCCATGGTTGCTTGGCAATGATACCGTACTCTAAAGGAGCTACATTTCTTGGTGGAATACTTGTTTATGCCAATTATTATTAATAATAACAAATAATTCTCTGAAAAATTGTGTATTTTATTATATATTCTGTTGGCTGCTGTTTTATAAAAGCAATAAGCCACTTAAGGGCCATGCATTCCTGTGGTTTTATCACAGGGAAGGGATAAAATCATGATAAAATCACAGTAACGCACAGGCTTTAATGGCTTATTGCTTTATTATTAACTCCTTGACTTAATAACTTTGTAATAATGCAATTTAAAAGTTATTTAATGTTTCATGTAAACAACTACAACTGGACACACCACACACACGCAGTGATGGTCAGTCTGTGTCTGATGACAGCACCTCTGTGGTGGCTCTGGAAGTGTTAGCCCGGCTTAGGCTGCTGCGTTTGCCTGCTGTTGCTGTGATGGATCTCCGGGCCATGAAGGAAGTCTTGCTCCCCATAACATGTGCTCCATGCTCCACTGTGCTTTCATTTTCATCTTCCTCAGAGTTGTCTTCATTGTCTCCCTCTTCACCCTCGTCCTTTGCTCCATGAGGCATCAGTGTGGTGCAGCTGAACTGGCTCAGAGGCTTTCCCAGTACCCCAAAGCTGGAGGGGTGCAATGGAGAAGGAGGTAAATAATTAGTAGTAAATAATTAAATAGTACTATGTAGTAAATAATTACTCCTTTTCGGTGGCATAAGGGAAGTAAATAGTAACTCATTTGTTACCTGAGGGAGGCTAGCTGTTGACTGAGCTCCTCCATTAGAACCTCAGTCTCTCTAAGTTTAGGTGGCTGCTGTGTGTGGCTGCAGGATCTCTGGAACAAATGAGGGGCTTTTTCTTTCGGGGAAGGAAGAAGGGACACCATGAGGGGTGAGCGCTGGGTCACAATATTGCCCCGGGCCGGCCGCCGCTTAGATTTCCTGGGTCAGAGGTCAGGAGACAGCGAGTGAGTGTTACTGACACCAGAGGAAACTATAAAAGTGTTAAATCTTTGCACAAATCAAGCTCTCCAGCCCAACCACTGCTTACGTCATGCAGACACAGGAGGAGTTTGCCTTTGAAATAATACAGCCAACCAAAATACAGTCCAGGTAAAATAGTAAACAGAACCACAGTTATATTAAAGAAGTGCTTAAGCAACGTCGCTGTCAGAACAAAACCTTGTACTTCCATTTTTTCTTTTTAATTTTTTCACATTAATGGAAAACACCAGTTGCCTTTAAATTGTGTCAAAATGTTATGATGAACAGTAGTGTTGGAGTACTTGAGACCGGTCTCAAGTTGGCAAATTAACAGCCTCTATCTTGACTCGGCCTCAACATCATTTGGACTTGGTCTTGTCTCAGTTTTAGAGTAAGGCAGAAACTGTTCTCGAGACCACTCAAGTTCAGGGCCTCTACCTGAGATAACTAGAAACTTTTTTCTATCATTATTAAATATCAACAATACTTTTAAACAGAATAAAACAGTCCTTTCTCTACATATTTTAAGAAAATCTGTTTGCAGCCAGCTGAGGATCATATTGATCTTTCCATGAAGGTTTAATTGGGTATTATTTGTTTGTTGATGTTCGTCAGTCCTAAATTTCTAACATCTCCTTATTAGATCAGAATGTTACTACTATGCTCTCATTTAATAATCAGATATTTTAGGATACATATTATTTAATGTTATATTTTACAAAATATATTGTAATGTATACTATTGTAGCCTGTCCAAGTAATGCTACTTTTGGGTTGGTGTTCTTCAGCATTTATTCACTGGGTTTATTTTGCAAAGGACTCTTATTATAGAGTGAGAGGCTAGAAGCTGCCCCTGAGTGTGCTTAAGCAGAGGGACGTGAGCTGGGTAGCAAATGAGCTGTTAGAGAAAAGAAAACTCTGCTTATGTACGGCATAGCTGTGGTCAACAACAGCTGGAAAATAAAGTACTAGGACTTGTCTGAAGGCTGTGTCTCTTTTAATAGCAGTGAACGCAACACTATTTATGTTATATATCATGTGTAATAAATTATAATGAATTTACAATTAACTACTTCCATTTTTTTCATTTCTTTTTATTTTTAAATTCTGAAAATTATTGTATTCTGGTCTTGGTCTTGTTCCAGTCTCAGCCACTCCTTGTCTCGGTATTGACTCAGACTTAACTACTACAAAGTCTTGGTCTTAACTCAAACTCGATGTGTCCAAGCCTCAGTCTTAGTCTTGATTCGGACTCGCCCCTAGTGGTCCTGAGTACAATGCTTAAAAATGGATTAACAGAAATCATCCAAAATGATTTATATAATATATTGTTCCATTAACTTTCATTGAAATTCAGGGGTGTTTTTTCCTTCTCCTGTAAAGTTACATAGGTAGATAAGAGGTTTTGTTCTGACAGTGACAATAAGCGTATTAATATTACATGTTGACACACATGGTATGTATGAGATAGTCCAGGTAACTTTCTAAACATACACATAGGGATGTTACATAAGCTTAGCATAGTCGTACGACATCTCCTCCTGGCCAGAGCTCCAGTCATTAAGTAATGGCAGCATGACCGGTATCCTAAGATGTATTTTAACATCCACTGAACAATGTGTAATACAATAATACATTGTCACACACAGTCCCATTACATATTATATTAGCAAATTAATAGCTATTAGTACCTAAGTACCCATTAACAATTATCTAGAATTATCAAGGATATTAATCAATTAGGGGTAACAAAACATTGCGATAATTGTGAGATTGCAATGTAAAACTGTGACAATGTGCATAGTAGAGATGTGACAATGTATTTCACATGCTGATGCTCATCATCAGAATTTAAATTATGTTTATGTGTGGGTTACTTTTTGAATAGCACTTGAAAACATAATTCCAAAAATTACGTAATTTTAAAAAGTGAATTTGTGATGGAGAATAGGCTGCAGTTGTTTATAACATCTATTCACATTTTCAGTATAATATTATTTTACAAGCAACACTGCTGTTTAGGGGAATGTCTACATTGTTGATTATGTGTGCAGCTTCCTGCTGTTGCTCTATCCACTAATGCAGCATGCAGGCTATTCATTTTAGTTACAGGGCAAGGGGCCATGCATGGAAAGAATATGCAATTCCTTGTCATAAGTTTGGTTTCTCCTTATCAAGCTTGAGCTTATTGCACTTTCTTTTCTACAGAACACTTAGAAAGCTCTACAGACTTCCGTTCAGTTTGTTTGGTACTTGGCTCAGACCTGTTGGCCGGGACAGTTTGTCTGGACTCGTCAGGCTCAGACTGGCCCTCTGTCTGGGTGATCTCCTGCTCCTCCTCGTCCTGCTCCGGCTCCTCCTTCTCAACTCTCAGGGCAGGATTAAATGTGTCAGATCGGAACAAGCGACCAATCTCACCCTGGATTCCCTTCAGGTCCCTCCTTCCAAAGGTAACCCATGCCACATAGCTAAAGAAGCTGTACAGACACTGCCATACAAATGTATAACACAGACATTCACTATGAACAGATTATATGGTAAAAAGTTTTTTTTCTAAAGGCTTGCTGAATAAGGAATGACAATCATTAACCCCTTGATTTATTATTCAGCTATTGTTCTTAAGACTAAGACACTAATCTTAAGACTGGGAACTACTATTAATTATTCAGTAACTACTACGAAACTAATGTTTATATGTATTATGCTTTTATAAGCGTGGTTACAGTGTAGACCATATATATACCTTAGAGTTTAAACTACTCACAACATTAAAATGGACAGTTGAATAGTGAGTGTGGTCATGATGAGTAAAACTGATTCAAGAAATATTAAGCCAAATTCATTTTGAACACATATATCATGTGATATATATCATGCTTTTGTTTTCACCTCATAGAGCTGCCTGTCTCTGTAAGTGGATGACACCCTGCTCCTGTGGACATACATCATAATATTTTAGAGCACAGTATGGCCTTAATTAACCACCACACTTTAGGGCAGAAGAAAGCCATATCACTCAACCACCTTAAATTCCCAGGCTTAATTATATCCTAAGGCTTATCGTTCAGTAACCACATGGAAAACAATCCAAACTAGCTGAGTAATTCCATACTTTCTGCAAAATTAAATGGTTAAAGTGATAAGTGTAAAGAAGGTCATTCAGAGTGGTTTGAGTGCTGAATTCTAGAAAACTTCCTAGAGATCAGTGGTGATAGTTACCAGATGTCTGAAGAGTTTAATGCCTCTAAAAACCACCTCACAGGAAGTTATTACATGAAATTACTACAAATACGCTGCCTGATGAAGACATCATCTTACAATAGCTATATAATAAGATTTTGGCCTCAAATTTATCATGCAAAGTGTTGAGAGGCAAATCAATCCACCAAAAAAACATATATTTTCAGATTTACTGCTATTTTCTATTCTCAACAGTACATATAAAAACTTAGAAGACACACGTAGGTTCACTGGTGCTTTTGTACAGTAAAAAATGACTTTAATGATATTGTAGACATTGTGACCACTCGTTTCTATCACCAGCACAGAAAGAAACATGAGCAGGCACATTTCTCTACATTACACCATTACATGTCAAACCATTCTGGTATGACTTTGTTTAGATCTGAACTATACAGAAATGTTGAAAAATCTGTGGATAGCTTTAAGGTATAGGAATGAGGAATGAACGCCTGGACCTACAATCGTTTTTTTTATCAGAACAACTACAAAATGTAGCATGGCATAGATAGCACAGACAGCATACTTTTCATAACTCACATCTCATAATCTGATAAACATGCTGACAAAAGTGATGTTGTTTTTAATGTGTTTGTCTTAAGCTCACTGTCCCCTTTTCAGCATGACTTATTCACTCAGGAGTTCTGATTTACAATGTTTTTACATGGTAGGCCTACACCAGTCAGATTTAGATCTAAACCATACATTTAAACGGGTAATGACAGGCCAAGTATTGATGGCTGGCACTGACCTGCCACAGGCCATGTGATGATGTTGAGACAGGCCCAGCCCCAACACCAGACTGGAGTAACAGAAGGCCAGATGCTTCTTGGCCAGGTCCAATTTAGCACTTGTCTCTGCCATCACCTGCCTCTCCGTCACACTCTGCTCCCTGCGACAGCCAAGAGAAAGATGATCACGCTGTTAACTAATCCAGATTTGCAATTAGCCATCACCAGTGCAGTGGGTCAGGTCAGCGCTAGCACTGCTGTGGCTTACACTTCATTATAATGAGTTCCTGACTGTAATGAAGACATCTATATCAAGCCTTCAGTCAGAATGTGCAGCAGTCTTGCTCTTTCGCTACTTGCAGATATGCAGTGATATTCTCTTCTGTATTCAGATGGAGGAAATCCTGTCAGAACTGAGAATTCTAAACTTTCATTCGAGGAGATATTTATTACGATTCAAATTTGATGAGAAGTTACTGTTGTGTATGCAGTCTTTTTGTGGAAAGAAAATCCATTATTTACATTTTTGTCATGTTTTACTACTGAAACAAAAAGAAAAAGCCAGACTGTAGACACATAATATGTAATCATGTAATTATATTTGGATAATAGAACAAAACTAACAGAATAACAATCAACATCTGAAGGTTAACAGTATCTCTGAAAGTATACTGTCCTCCATTTACATTCAGTGTCTCTGTAGCTCCATTGCTTTGTACATATTAGCAAGAAACTGCATGCCAGTAGACGGTAGAAGCCATGAGATTATTTGTAATCCCTTCAAACACGGCCTGCTTTTACATAGCACTTAATCCCTATCTTCAGACTCACGCCATGTGGGGCTTGGGACGCTCCTCCAGAGCTTTCTTCTCCAAGTGGTAGTAGAGGTACAGCAAGAGACTGGCCAGGAGGTCATCCATCTCTCGACTCCTGTATTCGAAACAATCCAGTCATCTTTACAGCTGCCATTAGCATGACTCTAACCATGTTATGTTCACTAACTAGTTGGAAAGAAGGAAAATGACCAGAAAAAAGGCTTACTTAATCACAGTCATAAAGCAAAGTGGAATGGGCAGCGCTTCATTTTCCTGCACTAATGAGACTGCCACCTCTGTAAAATAAAAATGACCAACTCTTTATTAGTTACTGAATGGATGTGGCAGCATTGTGACTTTTGACTGGTTTAACTGCTTCAGTATCATTATTTACATAAGCAAGAGATAAACGTACGTTTAACATGCTCGATTGTAACTGAGCCCCTTTGTGAGCGTTTGACAGCAGACTTGTAGGCATTCAGCTCAGCTGGTCCCACAGTTTTCCTGAGACCACAGTGCCCTCCTCTGGCTGACGGCTTGCTTTGTGAGATCCTTTAATATTACAGTGTATTACACTCAGTTTATTAGTTCCCTGCACATCTTGCCTATGAATATTTTACACAAACGTCATTGTAATGAAGCCACAGTTAGGCTACAGATCTGTAATGCAGTTTTGCTTACATCAAGACTGATTTGTGAAGAATGCTTTTTGGATGCTTAATTTGCTAAATACTATTACCAGAAGCCACCTCTCATTTACAGGACAACAAATAAATCAATAAATAACATTCAGTGCTCTATCTATTTGCTCATCAGTGTTTTAGAAATTTGTTAACTCTAAAATCTGTCATTGTGTTATTCAAAAGCTATATCAGGTTTGTTTTAGAGCAGTTCGATGAAGCAAACATGTTAAATGGCCAGCCCAAAATATGTCTTAAATGAATGGTTCACTAAGAAATCAGTTACACAATCAACAATTGATTTACCTTTCTAGATGCTTCCTAAAAGACTCTTGGTATGTAGATGTTGTCTTTTTTCTCTTCTTTTTAATCGCCACAGATGTATTAATACTGTAAACAAGAAACGGCTAATAGTTTCTTTTAAATTTCTGCTGATATGCTCTGCTTCACACTGTGACCAAAAAATCCGCATGTAAAAGACGAGTTAATGAGTTATTTACCAAACAAACTCCAGGGTTTGAGTTTCATCATTCCAGCTCCATCTCCCAGGAGGTGGTAAACTCATCTGTTGAGCATATAATACAGGATAAAACGCGAAAATTTTAAGTCAACCTGGATTTCTGAAAAAGCTCTGAGCTTAGTTAACGTTAGCTCTATAGCTACATCCACTTTCAATAAGTCAGTGACACTGCAGCAACACGGCAGCAAGTTAAAAATGTCAAACGCAGCTATATTTACATATATCATATGCAGTTTAATTCTGTTAACAGTTTTATAACTGCATAAATTCAATTCCTCACCGTTTCCTTGAGTTGTTTTGGCATCTTCTCGAAACTTTGCACTTCAGGCATCTCCTCAGAACAGCCGCAAACTCAAAACAACCTAGGTTTGTTTACACTGAACGCCAGCAGCTGGTATCCTAGCAACAACCAATCAGACCACAGAGTTCTAAAAGCTCTAATGCACATAGGGGCTAGTAACTGTGATTCTAACATTTATTACAGCATTTCTTCGTTGTATAATTGTCATATTGTGTCATTGCTACATCGTTATATCATTGTTACACTGTTGTAAAAACAAAAAAAAATATGATTTGTCAAAGCTACATTTTAATGGTTTAGCAAATGCTAGTAATAGACCGTGTTATTTTAATTTAGCGATAGTGCACTGCAGTCTCAGTTTGTGAATAACAGCCTGCAGCCTCGAGAAACAGTGCGTAATGCTACATGGACTATTCTTCGAGAAACCCTTAAAAACAACTGAAGCTCCTGACCAACCCTTAAGTTCTAAAAAAAGTGGGCGGGACCCGCGCAGACAGACAGGGTGATCAGCTTATAGCTGCGCAGACTCCGCCCACTGCCCAACAAGCTCCTCCTCTTCCTCTTCCTCTCCCTGTGCACTGAAGCCGGTTCTGACGAACAGCGCTACTTTGTCGAAAATTTCCTACTATATTACATATTTATAGTTAGCGCTTTAAAACCGTAGGTAGGATATTTTGTTAACTTAAATCACTTTGTCACGAAATTCTACCAGCAGCAAAAGTACAGGAGCGATATTCTGAGAGTTTGAATCACTTCATCAAAAAGTGCAACCAGCTGTAAAATTACAGGTGAGATATTCGGATAGTTCTGATTGCCTGAATCACCATATCAGTTTATCATTTGGATTGGTCTCAATCTCCTTAACAGAAAATGTTACCAGCATTAAGAGAATACTAAGGCTAGTACTTTTGATAGCATAAATCTCCTTTTCAGGGGTGAGTAGTAATACTAAGCTGAGTCTGTACTGAATAAACATTAACAACACATTAAAACGTTTGACACCTTCTATGGTCTATCGAGCATGTAGAACAGCTCGATGAACAGGACACGTTGTTAGAACACCCCGGAGCTCATAGAGGTAAGTCCATCTGGTAATAACACAGATGTCTTGTTTTTTTTTTTTTTTTTTTACCACAAAAACCCACAAAGCAGAAGATCCTGATTTACATAGTATTTTGCACGCACGTCTTAAAGCCGGTAAGATTATTAAAGTATACACCAGACCTACCACGTTAAGATTTTTTCAGTTATTTTGTATTTTCTAAACTATAAGCGTGTTGATTGCTGTGTTCCACTTCGTTGGGCCAACATTTAGATGTGCAATGTTTTGGTGGTAAATGCATTTACTATTATTTGAAAAGTGCAATGTCATACCACTGAGGGGTGTGGGCACCCCTCACGTGTTTTAGTGATTACAGCCAACAGCCTACTGCATTGTGCTACACCAGCAACTCTCACCACCTTTGGCCCACAGCCAGTGTACAGTTCCTGTTGTTGTAGTGGCTTTGAAGACTTATTTCTCACCTTTGCTCAACATTCCTAAGGTTCAGCATTAAGCCAATCAACAACTAAGTCTTTTGCTCTTCAGTTACAGACTATTGCATTCAAGTGACCAGCTGAAGAAGACCCATCTGAGCCATCTGAGAGTGAGATGGCAGTCCAGGCAGACAGAGTAATGGCATTGGAAGAATGGGAGGAGAGGTGGAATGAAGGCAGGATTGGCTTCCACCAACCGCACATTCACAGGTGAGTGGCAGCTTTGGCATTTAATCTTTCAGTCTACAAGGCCTATAATGCATACCACAAGTCAGAAGCTACACATGAACTCATTTCACCCCAGTACTTCATCTATTTTATTCAGATAAGTGACAAAACAAAAAAATATAATAAGGTATTATGTTTATTTTGTTTTTGTTTTTATTTGTGTTATTTTATTAATGACATTCGATATTTTGGCAGCTTTACACTATCGGGACAGCTTGTGGATAATAAATAATAAAAAAATATCATATATATATACTCAGATTGCGTGCTCATATATTGTTTCACATGGAGTCAGTGCACACAAGTCTGTCAAGCAGATTTAAAGCACATTTTGTTCATGTACGAATGATTGGCAAAACACCCATGTATTTAACAGTTATTCACCATGTTGTGCGCACAGCCAGTGTGGAGGCACAAGCAGGGGTGGGCAATATGATGATATTTTATATGTAGGGGTGGGAGATATGACAATGGAATGTTGTATAAATATTGTTAGCAAATTAAATCACAAGTATTTCTTATGCTCATCACAGATATTGTATTACTCATGCCAGTGGTATGCTTCACAAAAATATAGATTTATACAATTTATCCTTCTCTTCCTTATTAATTTGAATAAAAAATTTAAATTTGGTGCTCGTTCAATGTTTTTTCACACTTAGTTTTACATTTGGCTGTTTTGTTGGTAACAACAAACCTAAGAAAATCTAAATTTCATGCCCTGTGTTGCTTTATTACATTTTTGAAATATCATCTACATACAGGTGTGTGCCTTTTGTTTATACACAAATGATGTTTATTGTTTATCACTATTGCTAAAGCGTTTGCTTTTCTGACATGCATTTATTCATAATGTTTGATACCCTCTGTCCTCTTTCTTCAGAATGCTGGAGAGCAATATAGACAAAGTTTTATGTGGACGACAGCAAGTTAGGTTCTTCTTCCCTCTCTGTGGTAAAGCTGTAGACATGAAATGGTAGGTGGTCAAATTTGAGCTTTGTAATCAAAATGGGATTCAACTAAATGTGTATGTTGTTTGACCTTCCTACTGTTGAACTTTCAGGCTGGCTGACATGGGTCATGTGGTTGTTGGGGTGGAGTTTTCAGAGAAAGGCATAAAGCAGTTTTTTGAAGAACATGGACTGCAGTATAAAGAAGAGCCAGTGCCAGATGTACCTGAAGCAAAAGTGTTCAAGGTACACTTAGTGGCCTTTTCACATTTGGTTGAGTCAGAATCTGAATTTGAGATACAGTTAAATGTTGTTTTATTTATGTCGTAGTGTGCGTTCAGAAAATGTTTATTAATTAGAACCTTTGAAAAGTTCACTTTATATAAAAAAACAGAAAACATCAAATAAAAAAAAACATCCTTAGCATTTGTGTCTTCATGCATAAATTTGTTAGGATGTAGTATTAAATATTATCTGAACTTATCACACTGTGTGTTGATGGACTCCCCCTGTGTAGAAGATTAGTGGTTCTCCCGCTTTCATCTGTCATCCCCTGACTCATGTGTCAGAGCAAAAACAGTTTGCCCTGTATGGTTCCAGAATTTGATACAGGCTTCACTGGAAAGATTCTATAAGAAAATGGAAGCAAGTGTAGTAAATATCAGATGGCACTAAACCACAAATTCAGTAGTTCTTAGAGACTGAACATCCCCCAAAAATAAAACCACCAATATAACTTTGAAGGTCAGGCCTTCTCTCTGAACATAGCTGCCAGATAAATTTCGGGAAGTTCTTAAGAAAGCTACTGTGGACACAGATGCATCAGTATGAGTAGTGATGTGTGTTACATCGTCAGTACCAGTATACTGCCACTGTTGTCACACCATGATATTGATTTTCAGTTTTCATTTCAGTTCTTTTGGAATATATATATATATATATTTTTTTTTTTTGCATTGAGTAGCAGTATTCAGGAAGCATAGGTTAGCTTTCACCCTCCCAGCTTGGTAGCATTGTGTGCCAAGCCAGTGGATGAAATTAATTGGGGAGAAAATTGGCTAAAAATACAAAAAAGGGCCTTCGTGAGAAAGTGACAGAGACATATCCTTGCCTGCAAAGACCTGGAAGAATTTTCATCATGAAGGTTGGGCACTATGTGTGGTACCAATGAAGTACTGCATACCAGCTTGGTCACACTATTGTAAAGTATGGTAGTGCTTGCATCATACTTTTGGGATGCTTTTCAGCAGCGGGGTCTGGCAGTCTTGATGAGGTCAGTGGAAACGTACCAACACAGCTTCCCAGCAAACTTGACAGCTTGTCAGTTTTGGAAAAAAGAATAATGCAAAGACAAGCCAAGTTAGAGACTTTTCTTAAAAAAACTTCTGTATATAAGAACTACCAACAAATTATTGACTAATGCTGATGCATACTGAAAAATGATGACTGTTGAAAAACCGTGGTAAAGGGACAGGGCAAATACTTTTTCAAGATGCTGCACGGAACTTTCTGTGTCAAAAATACATATTTTACTACCATCAACCAGAATCTGGTGGCTAATAATTATAAACGCAAACTGCAAAATCAACCTACTCTACAGTGTGGTCTGAGGAAAGATGATGGGGATCGGGATACATGAAGACATTTTCATGATACATGATACACATAATGACATTCAGGTTTTCTGAGGTTGGCTAACAAGTTAAGAAACACACAGTTGGCCTGGAAAACAGTACAGCCGGGTTTTAAGAAAGGCAGTGAAAGATTAATGTTGTTTTTTTATTTGGTGTTTGCAAAAATATACTAACAACGAAAGGAAGGCAAGTCAAAGAATTGTTTTAAAAATATAAGATAATGAGCTAACATCCAATCGTATACCTTTCACTGTACAGTTTTAATTACAGTGCAACACCACTTGTTGTTAACAGGCTTTATAATTGGCCTAAACGTCTCTCTTCGTGGAACAGTGGTCAGTGTTCCGGAAACACCAGCAATACCTACAGTAAACTAAAACTGCATCGTGGCATCGTTTGTCACAATGATGATAGTTGTTCTGTGAGTCATGAGTCATGCTCATTCAGCTAATGCACTTTCTCTGTTCACAGAGTTCCGACGGAAAGATCTCCATCTATCAGTGTGATTTGTACAAGTTCTCCAGGTACAGCTTATACCTTCCAGTTTTAGGATATGAAACGTGTCTGAGAGAATTGATGTGGACTCTCTCTCTCTCTGCCTGCAGTGCTATAGAGGGTCAGTTTGGTGCAATTTGGGATAGAGGTTCTCTAGTGGCCATAAACCCATGTGACAGGCAGAAGTAAGTCATATATCACTATTTGAGATGACACAATAACCGTTTTTCATTCTCTGTAACGATAATAATACTGACACCTTGAGTATCAGCTGATACCTGTACTAATGCAATTGTACAGTCATCAAAATCTAGATGGCTGTCTAAACGTACCTTGTCCAAACTGCTCAAACAAATACTCACCTACTATAATAACTGTTAATAGTCTTAACTAGTACTAAATAGTAAATAGTAGTAAATGACCTACTAACATTGAGCCATTTAAAATAAAGGAATTGTAACTGTAATGTATAACACAATGGTATTGTTCTTGTTCTTAATGTTAGGCTTCATGTAGCTACTGTTGTTACCATGTAACATACTTCATTTTACATTACGCTACTTTTGTGCTACAAACAGTGCTGTGATGTTTCAAGCTAAATTTGTTACAGAATACAGAGATTGCTTGTTTTTCTTCTCCAATGTCCAGTACTGCATTTCGATCAGTGCCATCTCTAATCACTGGTAGCGCTCATTCAAAGCTCTATTATTAGTAAATGTAGTCTTTAAATGTTAGTGTCAGAACTTAATACAGTATTTTGAAACTTGTGCCCATTTCATAACTGTTTATCCTCTGATTTTGTCATTGAGGTATGCCGCTCTTATCAAGTCCTTAATGGACAAGGATTGCAGATACCTGCTAGACACACTAGAATACAACCCTGAACTCTATAAAGGTACCATTTACAAGTATCTTTTGATATTCAGACATTCATTTTAGTGTCTGACAAGCATGTGTGTTATCGTTTCTATGTACTCATGTGGACTTTCATACACCAGGTCCACCTTTTTTGGTGCCTGAAGAGGCTGTACAAGCATTATATGGTGAGTTTTCTTCATTTACATGGAGCTTATTATGAATAACTGGTGAAAGTATATTTTTCAGTGAAACTGTCATACACAGTGTATCATGAAGAGTGTCGATAAGTGGTGTGTTCCTGCCCACCAGGTGAAGATTGTGACATTAAGCTGTTGCAGGCTGCGGATGCCCTTGAAGAAAAACATAAAGCATGGGGAATAGATTCACTTCTAGAGAAAGTCTACCTTCTGACTTTAAAAGCTAAATGAACTAATCGAACAGATGTGGCCTGTGGGCACATACACAGTATTATGACATACACTCACTTAGCACTTTATTAGATACACTTATTTTCCATTCCATATCAGCTACACTTACCATATAAGAGTACTTTAAAGTTCTACAGTTACAGGCTGTAGTCCATTTGTTTCTCTGTATAATTGTTAGCCCCCTTTTACCCTGTTCTTCAGTGGTCAGGACTACCGCAGAGCAGGTAGTACGTTGGTGGTGTATCATACTCAGCACTGCAGTGACACTGATATGATGGTTGTGTGTTATTGTGTTACGTGGATCAGACACAGCAGTGCTGCTGGAGTTTTTAAACACTGTGTCCACTCTACTAGACACACCTACCTTGTTGGTCCACCTTGTAGATGTAAAGTCAGAGACAGTAGCTCATCTGTTGTTGCACAATTTATGTTTGTCATCCTACAGTCCTTCATCAGTGATTCTGCCCACAGGACCCAGTTGGCTGGATATTTTTAGTTGGTGGACTATTCTGAGTCCAGCAGTGACACTGAACACTGCTGTGTCTGTTCCACTCATACCAGCACAACACACACTAACATGCCACCACCACATCAGTGTCACTGCAGTGCTGAGAATGATCCACCACCCAAACAATACCTGCTCTGTGGGGGTCCTGACCACTGAGGAAAAGGGTGAAAAGGGGCTAAGAAATTTTACAGAGAAGCAGATGGACTACAGTCTGTAAGTGTAACTACAAAGTGCTTCTACATGGTAAGTGGAGCTGATAAAATAGACAATGAGTGTAGATACAAATTAGATGTAGCTAATGAAGTGCTCAGTAAGTGTGTACGTTTTAGACAGACAAAATAACTGGAAGACAAAGTCCTGGATGACAATATTTTTGAAAGAGACCAATCCACAATTAAAAGCAATTTTAATAATATGATATTTAGTGACAATGTTAATATCACCTCTAAAAGGGGAAGCAGACCAATTTTAATGTGTCCAGCATTATTATAGCATAGTTCAAATAGGTAAAACTGTTTTAGATACAAGGAACAGCAGCTGAAAGCTCAGCTTCACCAGCAAAGATCAGTGGGCATTTAAACATCAACAATAAAGCCTTCGTGTGAACCCTGAATTACCTCAGAATTCAAACCTCATTCATAAAGCTGATACATAATAAACAATAATGTGCTGAAAAATAAGACAGTGTTGTTGTTTTTTCCTCCCATATACAGTCCGGCATATTCTGATGGTATCAAGCCTGATGCAGATACTTGGTATTTGATCAGTGTCATCTTAGTGTAATGTCAAAAAGCATTAAAGTGTCCTTTACTCTTTCAACATATGGATAGTTTTCTTTCTTGGAGAAAATGAAAGGAAGCCTTCAGCCCACACCACCTGCTACTGACTTCCCAGTGTGATAGTTATCAGTTTCTCCAAGAACGATTCAATTTCCTGCTCGACAGTATGTTCAGCACTGCTCCAGGACACACTGGAGATATGAAGAGGACAGAAGGAATCCAAAGCCCTTTTTACTGATACATTCAGCTATTGCCTGGCATTTTGTTTACCGTTTTACATTTTCCTCTGCGAGAGAAACTGACCATAAGAGGACATATTGCGATTATGAGCAAGTCTCACAGAAACAGCTTGGAATTAGCTCTAGGAAGTTCTCTAAATTTGCAAAAAGCTTTACACTTCCAAAGCAGAAACTTATTCAAATAAATCATATTTTCATGCAGATGGTAGAAAAAGCTGAATAAATGAGTGGAGAAACAGAAGTGCAGATGCTTCCAGATGGGTGTACTGCATGAGACAATTAGGTAATTAACATCCTACCATGATCCGTGGCATGCATAGAAATGCTGACTGGACTGACTAAAGTAACATTTGCATTTAGATCTACAGAAAAGTCATCAGTAAATAGGGCTGAAATTTGTGGTCTAAAGCGCACATTCAATTAATGTGATACTCGTGCATTGGTGCAATATTTAAGGATAAACAGAAGAACAGCTCTTCTTCAGGTGACTGAAAATGTCAATGCAAGACGTGATCAGACTGTATCAGCAAGAACAGTCAGTCCACAACTACACAGAGAGGGATATTATAACAGGGCTCCAGTGAACAACCCCCTCATTGCAAAGACGAATGCATGCTTGAGAGTTCAGTGGCGTGCGACCATCAGCACTGGTCTGCAAAAATACAAAGAATAGTAATATGGTTAGATGGGTCATCCTTCTCCATATTCTCAACACGTGGATGAGAGCATGTGTGGCATCCACCAAGAGAACTGTGTATGCCTTAATGCCTGACCACTACAGTGAGGTGGGGATGGCTCTGTTACACTGTGAGAAGCTTTTTGCTGCCATAATTTGGGTCCCCTTGAAGGGAAGGGTCACTGCAAATCAACACAAAGTTATTCTGATTGGTCACCTTTCTCCTATAAAACATTTCTATCCTGATGGGAACGGTCTCTTCCAAGATAATCTGTTCCTGTCACCAGATCTTGAGCCAAAGTATTAGACAGTACTCTCCACTCCATCATCAAAATACCCTCAAGTGGTGTCTTTTGGAAGACATTCAAGTACAGTTCCAGAGACTTGTAGAATCTATACCAAAGCAAAAACTGAAGCTGTTCTGGCAGCTCCTGGTGGCCCAGCACCTTACTGTTTCTGTTCTTTCTCTAAGATGAAACACAGTTGGGTTAATTGTCATAGCCTACTGAGAAGATGTTGGCTGTGTCTAGTGAAACTTGTGGTTCTCTCTTGCTTCAAGATAGCTCTGACACCACTTCGTCCCATTAGCATAACATGCTAAGTTCAGTTCAGCTACTGACATGCTCCTGTTTGGTTAACTTTTTGTCAACAGTGTTGTGCTGGTTACTCAAAAAAGTAATAAGAAAAGTTCCAAACAAATTACTAATTACTCCAAACTGTAATGGGATTACTTTAATTACTAGACCACATCACTATAAATACTATTCAGAACAACACAACAATCATATACAAATGAGCCTCGTATATCTGTATATACACATACATGTGAGTGATTGACATTGTCATCTGTAGACTGTAGAGAAAATCTGAGGTCTTATGGCAGATTCAAGTGGTTAAAGAAATTAAAGTGCAAGTGTGCAGTGATGATAAAGGGTTATGAGCACACTAGTGGTTGTTGGAAAGGGTCTATAGTCCAGGTTGATGCTGGCGGGGGATCAGTGGGTTCAGTAATCATTCAGTAATCCACTTGAACACAAGATGGCAGTGGAGTAAAATAAAAGAACCTCATCACAGTATTAGTTCATTTCTGGTATCTTCATTACTATCGTGTTGTTTTAATCGAATAAAAAAACCATTAACTAATAATAAGTTTAACTAATCTCCGTTTACAACGGTACAGTGGTAATTTTAGATTGTTTCCATTGTTTAAAACAGGACAGGTGGAGAATGTGTTATATTTTATTTAGCTACGACGAAACTTAATTAAAGAAAGATTTACTCAATAAATACTCGATTTACGTCGCGTACAGTCCTGAAATGGTCCCGTGTTGTCACAAAGCTTTCGCACAGGAGTTCCTCAAAAACAGCCCCCGGGTTTTTCGGTACTGTGTCTATTTGCCTCTCTGAGTTTATTCCAGTATGGCGGGATTTTATTGCTATCGATTGTGAGTCTTCAGCTGCCAGCTTTAACCTCCAGAGGCCAAGGTCGAAGGAGCTCGGTGGTGAAATCTCCACAGCAGCCCAGATGCGTGCGTGTGTTTACTTTAAATGCAGCTTTGGAGAGGAGACACCTCGGGGGCCCTGCACCAATCAGAGGCGCCGGGGGGCGGGGCTTGTGGAACGTTGCGTGGATGATGGAAAACGGACAATATACGGCCCCAGAAGCTGACACTGTGTGTCACTGAACGTAAATTCTGGGCATTTTTCTCGGTGTGGACGGTGAAGATGGACAGTGAGTGATACGTGTGTGATGTGCGGACTGCGGTGTGTGAGCTGTAGTGGAGAGGCCAGCGCCGCGGGGAGTGGATGGACGAGGGGCTACCGCTGGAGAACAGAGGGGGGGAATTGCCTGCCTTTAGGTTGTCTGCTCAGTTATTATGAAGAATATTCGCCTCCGTCTTCGCGGCGACGGCGGGTGGGTTTCTGAAACGACGCGTGATTTTTAGAGCCTTGCACTCGGATAGCAGCGCGCGCACGTGAGCGCAACCTAAACCTCACCACCAAGGGCACCGTGACCATTGTTGACTGCCCATATTTCATAAGCATAAGCGCTGCAGCCTCCGGTATTTGTCCGAAGAGGTGGACGGTGCTGGAACATAATAGAGCCTCTACAGAGGCGCCTCGTGGAGGGGGGCGGTGGGATGCGAGGAGCGCGTGCGTTTCTGCTTTAAGTAATAAAGGGGCAGATGTAAAGGAAGGCGGGGGATGCAATAAATAAATAGATAATTAATTAATAGCACGCCGTCCGCCGTGCGTTACCTGAAGCCGTCAGTGTGTGTTACGGCGGAGCAGAGGGAGGGCGGGGCTGGAGAGCGCGTGGCTGAAGAGTGTGTGTGTGTGTATGAGAGAGAGAGAGAGAGAGAGAGAGAGAGCAGCTCCTGCTGGGGCAGTAAAGAGAGTGTCCGCTGTCCACAGTGGAGGGATTCTCCTGTAGCAGGGATAGGGACCAGTCAACAACAGTGGTCAGTGGATTGAACATTGCTTCATCACATAAAGGAAACCTCCAGTGGACAACAGAGCGAAGACTTACAGAGAAGAGGCTGAGAAGGATGTGAGCGTCCCCTGACCATTGTGGAGGAGCACAGGCTCCACTGACAGGTAAAACTCATCATTCACTCATAGGAGAAGGTGCAGAGACAGAGGGACTCAAAGAACCCCCAGTTCTCTCAGATGAAACCCTTGCTGTCTAATGAACGGCACTTGAAAGTGTTGATGCTGGTGTTCCTGTTCTAGTGTGCGTGAGCGTATGAGTGGTTCCATGGCAGATCCATTCAGCAGACAGCTGTATATCCTGCGTTTGATGGACGTTTTTTAAAATGGTGTCTGTGCTCTGTTGATGCCTGGAATCTCAATCCCAGCTGAGGAGCAGCTCGGCATTCTAATTCACACTGTTGCAATCATCTCCTTTAATGAGGTCCCAAGACGAGACAGCGCTAAACTGTGGTCAAAACTCAAAGCAGGCTGGCAGTCAGACGTGCTGATGCCTAGCTATCAAATCGAGCTATCGAATCAGATGTGTCCATCCAGAGCTTAGTTTTAAAATGCAGAACTGGTTTAAATCTTCTAATGAGTTGCCCTCAATAAATGTGTGATGAATGGCAGCGTCCAGTGGGGTTTGACCTTTGCAGCAGGTCTTGGCATCTAAAATGAATTTTTGGTCCCCTAGAGAGCAGCCAGGAAAATGAATGGAGTGTCCACCACCACTGTGTAGAAAAAGAAAAAAAGGGGCAATGGGGAGGGGACGGAAAAATGGCTGGAATCTCGGCCCCCTTTGACGGGGTCCAATAACTCATTCCATAGCGTCATACGACCTAATGTATATGACTTCATTTGGGCCAGAGGAAGGTGAAAGGGAGGAG